ATATAATTTCAAATTTAGAAAATTACACGAATGGTCCTTGAGGTTTGTAGTGTATTGCAACATTGGCATAAGAACAAAATAGTCTTTTTCATTAAAATCTAACAGCTGAAAAGTTAGATTTAACGGTAGGAGGACCTTTCATGTAATTTTACAAACCATAGGGACCAGTCGCGTGATTTTTTGCTAGGAAGTCCTCAAAGTGCGATATTCTGTAAACCACAGGTACCAATTGTGAAATTTTGTCATTTTTGGATTACGACACATTGAATGTAATTTAGGTTGAATATTATAAAAATATATTTTTTCGCTCTCATATTTATTGTTTATCTTTTACTTTTGAAGTTTTTATTTTTCAGCTCGAACGTTAAATATTTTTATTTTTGATATACAATACTTGATGCAAAATATATGAATAGATTGTATTTTAAATGTATTTTCATTGTTAGAAGTTGTATCAACTAATTTATAAATTAAATAAAAAAATATTTAATATAAAAATTAAAGAATAAAGACTTCAAAAGTTAAAAGTAGACAATAAATATAAGATGACGTAAGTATATTTATATAAAAAATAAAAAACATGATGCAACAAAAGTTTGTTGTAGTTGTATGTGGTAAAATGCCTGTCAAATATTTTTTTTCTAAATATAAAATATTACGATGTACAATTTGTCCATTATTAATGTCTGTCGCAAATTTACGTCGAATAACTATTTGTTGTCTATAACTATGGAGAAAATTAAAAAGAAAACCATCATACATATACACTACTTTTGATTCACAAATTATATGCTTTGTTTAATGAATTTTCTTTATTTGCATATACTTAGATATTTTTTGTATTATGGGACATTGAATGTAATTTAGGTTGAACATTATAAAAATATCTTTTTTCGTCTTATTTTTATTGTTTATCTTTTACTTTTGAAGTATTTATTTTTTAACTTTAATGTTAAATATTTTTGTTTTTGATATACAATACTTGATATAAAATATATGAATACATTGAATTTTAAATGTATTTTCATTGGTAGAAGTTCTATCAAGTAATTTATAAAATAAATAAAAATATTTAAGATAAAAGTTGAAGAAATAAAGACTTTAAAAGTTAAAAGTAGACAATAAATATAAAATGACGTGAGTATATTTATATAAAAAGAAAAAAAATGATGCAGCAAAAGTTTGTTGTAGTTGTATGTGGTAAAATGTCTGTCAAATATTTTTTTTCTAAATATAAAATATTACGATGTACAATTTGTCCGTTATAAATGTCGGTCGCAAATTTACGTCAAATAAGTATTTGTTGTCTACCAAAGGGTTTTTTTATTTAGCGGTAAGGAGTGACTCTCTCAATTAAAAGATTATGAGTTCAAGTTTTTTTTACAAACGTAGATGATTATTAAAAGTATATTAATTTACTGTTTAAAAAAAACTTTGTTAGCTATTGTTTAGGTCGGACGGAGTGGCCTCGGCAACAGCCTCGGCGAACACCGGGCCGACCCTTCGGCATGCCGAACTCGGTGAAGTTCTGCCGAGTCTCTTTCTTCTTCCTCTCTTCTTTCTTCTTCCTTCTCCCTACCTCGGCAAACAACCCCTCCTCTTCTCCCTCTCTTCTTCTCTCGAGCTAAATCCCTCCATTTTGCTGATGTGGACTTCGGCAGTCTCGGCACCACTCCGAGAAGCCTTATGATGGTGCTTTCAATAACCTACATCTGTTTGTCATCTATAGCCGGTTACAACACACAATGAATGTCATTAAAAACTTTTTTTTCTAGTTCGTGATCATTATATAAACAATACAAAAATCAATGTATTATATTTTATATATAACTTTTATTGTATTTAATTTTGAATTGAACTGTGGCACCATAACAAAACTCACAAAATTGGATAACTTGAATCTCTAGTACAGACTATAAATATGTGATTAGACATATCAATAAAAAAAGTATAAATTTTGATATATATTCTGTTTTTTTTTTCTTTCGAAAAAAATTAGTCAGTAAAAAAAACGTATAGCTGTCGCGATATAATTTTTTGTAAACATGAGTGATTTTTTTATAACAAAAAAACTTTTAAAAACGTTAGCAACAAGCAAGAGAGGTCGCAATGAGATTTTTGGAAGTACGGATGATTTTTTTAGAGCAAAAAAATCCGATGGTTAACCGAGATATTGGTCAGACTATGGTGATTTTTATATTATTAGCCATTATTTGTATATACGATATGTTTTTGTATTATGAGACATTGATTAGTTTGAATATTATTACATTTAGAAACATATATTTTTATAAAAACATTTTATATTATTAGCCATTATTTGTATATACGATATGTTTTTGTATTGTGAGACATTGATTAGTTTGAATATTATTACATTTAGAAACATAAATTTTTATAAAAACATAGGAATCATAACATAATTTATGTGGTAAATTGTCTACTCCAGAATTTTCAAAAATCTAAAAAATCACAAAATACAAATTGTCTGTCGTAAATGTATGTCATATATTTACGGCAAACAACATGTTTGTCATCTATTTTCTTATAACATGGTTTTGATTACCATAAGTTTGTCATTGTCTATAACCAATTACAACATACATTGTATGTCATTAAATGTGTTCTTTCTAACAGTGAACATTGAATAAACAATAAAAATATCAATATGCTATATTTTATATATAACTTTAATTGTGTTCATTTTTTTTTTTTGACAAAAGTTGAACATGAACATTGTCATCATAAAATGGAAACTCTTAAACTTGGATGACTTGAATCTCAAAAAGTGACTGTGAATTAGTGACTACACATGTCAATGAAGGTACAACCGTGTATCAAGACATAATTACATTATTTTTATAAAAAGTGAGGGAAAACTGCAATAAAGTCTCTATGTATTGTCAATATAATTGATTTAGTCCCTATAGTTTTTTTTTTTTTTTTTTTTTTTTTTTTTTTTTGCAATTTAGTCCTAATTACTGGTAAACATAATCAAAACTGGATAATTATTGGGTTAGCCGGTATCCCACCGGTACTATGCGTATGTGGCACCTTACGTGTAAATGAGGGTTTTACCCTTCCATTTCCACTTCGTTCGTCATCTGGGTAAATCGATTGAGAGAAAAAGTTAGGGTTTTACAAAGTGAAACACGAAGGAAGTAGGGTTTTACTGAGAGAAACGAAGGTAAAACCCGACCGTTTTTATAATGGCTATCGAATCAGAGGAAGTTCACCATGAATCATCTGAAGAATACGACTCTGAAGAATACGACGATGATGAGGAGGTGCTCGATACTGAGCATATAGATGTGGAAATGGAAGAAGATGATTTCAAGACACAGGGTAAAGAGAGATGCAAGGATGCTTTCCTTAACTTCAGTTCTGATTATGAAGATAATGAAGTTGATGAAGACAATTAATGACGCTGCTGATGAAGATGAAGAAGGGTTTGGGTCAGAAGAGGAAATCGATGACACAGCAGAGGCTAATGATCTTCATTTGGGAGATGTGGGTGGTGTAGGCTTCCCCATTCACGATCCATCAGTTAAGTGGAATAAGATGAAGCCTCTTCTTGGTGAAAGGTATGAATCACCACATCAGTTGCAACAATGTCTCACTAATTATGCTATTAAGGCAGGGTATAACATTACATTTTCGAAGTGTGACACTGTGAGATTAATTGCCAAATGTGGTTCTAAGATGAAGTCTCAACCCTGTCCATTAAGAGTTTATGCTTCTTAGATAACTCAAGAAAGGTCTTTTCAGATTAAAACCTTAGTTGATGAGCACAAATGTGTTATAAATTTCAATATTTCAAATTTACTGAGTCCTAGATGGATAGTAAGACACTTTTTGAAGGAGTTGATAATGAAACCTAACTTGAAGTGTAAGGAGATGCAATCAATAATTAGAACCAAATTTCATTGTGGGGTGTCTTGGTCTAAGGCTTACAGAACAAGGTGTAGAGCAATGAGCATTATAGATGGTAAACTCACGGACCGTTATGCTAGGGTGTGGGATTATTCTCATGAGTTACTAAGGTCAAATCCTGGTAGCACTTATCAAGTGGGTGTCACTGTCCATCCAGATTAAACAACATACTTTCATAGGATGTATGTGTGTTTTAAAGCAATCAAGGAAGGTTGGAAAATAGGGTGTCGTAGGGTAATTGGTCTAGATGGATCTTTCTTGAAAGGGACATGTAAAGGATAATTACTCACGGTAATAGGGAGGGATGCAAACAACCAAGTATATCTAATAGCTTAGGCAGTTGTTGACATTGAACATAAAGCTAATTGCAAATGGTTTCTGGAGCTGCTCACAGAGGATCTTAACCTGCAAGATGGAGGAGGGTTTACTGTAATTTCTGATCAACATAAGGTTTGTAATTTCTTAGCATATTTATGATTTTTCCTTATCATCATCTTATATGTTTATGTATTTTTTTTATTACATTGTAGGGATTTCTTGAAGCAACAAAGGAAGTACTACCAAATGTGGAGCATAAACAGTGTGCAAGACACATATATGCTAACTTTAGGAAGACCTATACTGGAGTGGAGTTCAAGAATATGTTATGGGCAACTTCCTTTTCAACTGTGGAGAGTGAATTTATGAGGAAAATTGATGATATCAAAGAGGTCAATCCCAGTGCTTATGAACATTTTCTTGCAAGAGATCCGCACACATGGTGCAGGGCATATTTTAGGACTGAGGTAGCATGTGAGGCAGTTGAAAATGGCATTGTAGAGTGCTTCAATGTCATCATATTGGATGCTAAAAAGAAACCCTTTCTAGCATTGTTTGAAGAAATTAGGTTGTACATGATGGATAGGTTCTACCATATGTTACAAAAGGCAGAAAAGTGGGAATCTGTGATTTGTCCTGCTGCAATCAAGAAAATGAACAAGTTTGGAGTGGATTTGAGGTTTGTCTTAGCATTTTTATGGTTGTTCCTTATCATCATTCTTCTAATTTTATTGTTTTGATTTCATTTAGTAATGTCATTGTAGGAATTGGAATGTGAATCCAAGTGGACCATCTATTTTTGATGCTAGGAATGGATTTGAAGGGTACGTGTTGACTTACAAAGGAAAGTGTGCAGCTGTAGGCTTTGGGATATCTCAAGAACTCCATGTATACATGCATAGTCTGCAATATTATACACTGGACAAGATCCTGTTCAATTCATAAGTGAGTGGTTTAATGTGGATAGGTTCAAGGCCATATATGCAAACAATATACTACCTGTGAATGGTAGAAATATATGGCCTAAAACAACATACACAAACCTCTACCCCCTTTAGCTAGAAGAATGTTAGGGAGACCAACTCTAAAAAGAAAGAGGCATGTCACTAAATCTCAAGACAAATACTCCCAAAATAAGATGAAGGTTACTGGAATAGGAAGGACAGTCCAATGCAAAAACTGTCTTCAAAGGGGTCACAATAAGGTATCCTGTAAGAATTCCAAGGTCACACCAGAACCCAAACCCAAGAAAAAAATAGGTAGACCAAGATTGGATCCTGATATCAGTCATTATACTAGAGGTGGTGTTATAGGTAGTAGAGGTGGTGCAAGGGGTAGTAGAGGTGGTACAGGGGGTAAGAGAGGTGGTGCAGTGGGTAACAGAGGTGGTGCAGTGGGTAAGACAGGTGATGCAATGGGTAACAGAGGTGGTGCAGTGGGTAAGAGAGGTGGTGCAGTGGGTAATAGAGGTGGTAAAGGTAGTAAGAGAGGCGATACAAGTGATGGTAAGACATCTGGTGGAGTTGAGGATGGTGGAATGGCTCAAGTTGAAGGTGGTGGAGTGACTGAGGTTGAAAATGAGGATGACACTATTCCTGAAAAATATTTAGTCCATATATGGAAGGCAATGCAAGATTTGAAAGTATCAAAGTATTCAATTGAATAAATTCAAAATACCCTTACTCTGACAGATTCACACATGAAACAACTCAATGATTACAATGACACTATTGAAGAAGTTCTTCCTATGTCTATGGTAAACCCTCTATGTTTTCATATTTAATTGGTTAATCTTACCTTAATGTTAACATTCATTTATGTTATTAATTGCTTGATGTTTAACAAGAAGAGGAGGATCCACCTCATACTGAGACACAAGATGGGGCTGAAGAAATTATCCCTAAGACACAACCAGAAAGTGAAGAAGAAGAAGAAGGCATTAATGACACCCAAGAATTACCAGTACACCTTAGGATTGTGAAAAGAAGAAGGCCCTCTGAGAGGATTGTCAAAACCAAGTTGAAGAAGATGGGATGTGTTGGGACTTCTGCAAATTCAACATTGGAGTTGGATTAGGGTGTTAGGGTGTTAAGGGTAGTAAGGGTATTAAGGGTAATAGTTGGGCAATGGTGATTAGATGGCCATTTTTGTACATCTTTTTTGTGAATGCTACTTTTGTACATCTTTTGTGAATGCCCTTAAATTACTGATAGCCATATTTTGTACATCTTTTGTAAACACATTGATACATTGTGAATGCCCTTAACATGGTTGGTAACGACATATTGGAGTTTGTTGTTTAATTATTATAGTTGACAAGTGTGCATATTTCATGGTTATATTTGTTAAGTGTACACCATTAATGCAAATCATAATAACATATTCCCATTTCATTAACCAAAACATTACATGATCCATAAGAACATATATCTATTACATCATGATAACAAACCAAAAGATTACATCATCCCTACCATACCATAACACCCTACAACTTACACTAAACTAACCATACATCATCCCTACAATGAAACAAACGAAACAAACCATCATCCACTTCTAGAATCCAAGTTCATTAGCAAGCACATGTATATTCTCAAGCATTGCAATCTGATTATCAGGTTCAAGGGCATTCACAGGGCCAATAGGGCCATCAACAGGTATTTCAACTTCATTAACAGGGTTATTGAAAGGAACAACTACACCCTCATTAGCAACAACTCCTAATTCATACATTCTTTCTTTATACCACTTATTCAATAGTGGTGGGTCAATCCAACGAAAATACCCACAATCCTTCTCTTCATCCTACATAACATAGAAAGATGCATGTTTTTAACATAGAAAAATTTTAGTGGAATAGAAGAATCTGAGTGAGATTGAAGATTCTTTACCATGTAATTTGGGCAACCAAAAAACCTCCGACCTGGATGATGTCCACATTCCAGCCCTATCTCCACAATAGCACATTCTGATGTTGTTGCTTGAAGAACTCGACATCGATTTCCTGTTTCCAGTTTGCCCTAATCGCCCGCTCCTTTGACTGTCGAATGAAGAAGAAGAGCCCGATTCATAGATTTATCCCTCTTAAATTGCACGTAGGATGTTATTTAACATGATGACTTCCACGTAAGATGCCACATCAGTTAGGTACCGGCTAACCCAATAATTATCCCGTTTTGATTATGTTTACCAGTAATTATGACTTAATTGCAAGAAAAAAAAACTATAGGGACTAAATCGGTTATAAGGGCAATAGATAGATATTTTATTGCAGTTTTCCCTAAAAAATTACATTAAGAAAAGTTGTTTCTAAGAATTAAGCATGATTTTTATAATAAAATTTCAAAACATTATTAGTTTATGAAATATTGTTTATTATTATTATTTTTTTATTTCTTAAAACGACAAACTAATTACTTCTAACTATCACCTATGACTCAAGTATAACTTGAACCCATGATCTTTCAAATGAGATACCACTACTTACCGATAGATCAAAAATCATTTATTTTTTTTGTTATTATTTTAGTAAATAGTTCATTGATATAATATCATACATACACAATCATTTAAATTTTAAATACGTACAACACCTGTAGAAAACCCCACGAAAGCACCAAGTTGAAAACCAAAAGATTTGATTGCTACCACTGTATACAAAACTTGATTGCACGTGCGATTTGTACTATTCATTTAATTTTGACTATTCAATTAGTTGACACAAATCTCAAGGGTCTCACTATTCTTTAATTGCCGTCTCCATGTAGGTCCTCACTCCGTCACCTAACATATTTCAATACTGCCTATACTCGACTGTCGGCAGCTCACTCTCTGTACTACTCTTGATGCATATAGTACATGCTTCCAAGAAAAAATATATACCAATTACGTTCGGTATATATCCAAGTCATATTGGCTTGAGTTGATTATGAAAATCTTGGAGAAAAACATTGTTGTAGAAATCTTGAATGATCCGGAAAATTTGATGTAAATATGTCACCATGGTTTGTTGATTAAATAAAACCGATAAAAGTAAAATAGTCAGACAATATTTATGATGGATAAAATTAATGTATGTTTCAAGAGATGAAGAAATCTTAGGAAAAATCTGTTTTTACAACGTTTTCAATGTTTTTCAACTGATTGAATAGTCTGTTTTTTTCGTACATCCATAACGTAATTTTTTAGTTCCAAATTCAAGAACTTGAATATGATATTATGTTGGACATTTTTCTTGATAAATCTAACCATTTCTTTTAATTTATACTATCAAAGGCTTTCAAATACTCACCCGAACACAAAAATAAAAAATAGAAGTAAATTCGTGTTGACTATATTAAATATATGAACTTGGTAGCGGTGCTAATCTCTAACATTTAAATAAAAAATAATCTTTTATATATTTATGGCAACTCTTTTTGCATGTATGATCTTCTAATTCCATCTTTTCAATTACTTGATAATATTCTTCGCTTGGTTGTTATATTGGATCAACAAGTAGTGAATTTACATATCAACTTTCATGTACTTAGACTATACCTATTGATGAGCAGCTCATCAAAGATCAGCACCAAAAATTTTAAAAAAATAAAAATATATCAAAACGTAAAGGAATTGAGGTGAGCGGCTCGTGCAGCGGCCTAGTTCACTCCCCCCTTTTGTATTTTTTTTTTATTTTATTAAAAAAAATAGATATTCAGTTCATTAATATATATATATATATATATATATATATATATATATATATATATAACTAAATATTTCCTACAATATGAGATCAATATTCATATTAGTTTTTTGATATTTTTTGTAAAGAAATGTTGGATTGGGTTGAATTTAATTGTTAATGGGGATAGCTTTATGTTGCTCATTATTTACGTCTATTATTTTTTTTTCATTCCTTTTTAAAAAACTTAACAAAGACATTTTTTTATTCTGATTGCTAAAGCAATCAATATCAACAATCAAAGTATCTAACACTAAAGAAGTATAAATGTGTATGTTTTGACAAAACATTCAACATTAATCACAATTCACAAAGTATTAACGTATGTGATTTCTAAATTTTGAGTATCAATGTTACAAAATATCAAATTATCAATGTTTATGTTATAGTTTCTCATACTCAAGACAAATCAATTATCACTATATGTACGTATAAATGAATTTAATTTCTAAATTTTAATATTATTGTTACAAAGTATCAATGTTTCTGATCTTTAAGATAGAGAGTGTTAGTCGATGGCATCTTTTACGAATGCGGGTAGTAAAGACTAAGCACACAAGTTAGTGTAAAAAAAAAACAAATATCACAAAAATTTCTATGTTAGGAGGGGAAGACTTCGATGTACTAAAAGGTCATGTCTAGAGGGATAGCGACGATACTGCTTTCTTGCACAACCGAACTTCTCATTACACTTAATCTGTAGACTTAGGGCACAACTTGGAAGCCTACCATACAAGGTTAGGGATCTACTGCTTAAATGGATCGAGTCTTTATCGCACATGCGTTTTCCTTTGCGGCGATGACTTTTGCTCTGCAACTTGTGCTTGGAGCTTCAATCCTATTATCCAGTCTTAGCTCATTATCTAACCTTTGGGTCATATTAAATTGGATCGTAAAGCTTCTTTTGATGATTCCCAACTCATTATTGATTTGATTGACGTGATGCGTAGCGCGAGTGGCTAGGGTAGGCATGACAGAACTATGTGACGTTTCGAGGGAAAGGGATAGGTGGCAAATCGTCTGTTGATTTCTGGCCTTTTTATCCTTATAATGCGAGAAATCAACTTCCTCATTGATGGGATTTGTCTCCTCCTTATTAGGATCTTCCTCCTCAGAGGGTCCTGAAGGGTCCTCAGAGGGCTCTTATTATGATTCGGCTAGCTCTCTAATTGTTTATGAGGAAACGTCCTTTTTGTGAGGTTCCTCGGTGGGGTCAAGGAAAATAGAGGTATGGGAACTTTAGTAAAATAGGTATGTTGGGTCTTAAGTAGGGATGGCATAACTTGATCTTTCCCTGGAAATGTTCTTGTTACCTTTTTTTCCAGATCTGCTGGAACATCTCAAAAATCATAACAAATTTAAACTTTTCAAAACAATCTGTTACTTAAAAATTGTTTATATAATCATTGTTTTCAAAATATTATTCGATTCAGAGTCTCCTAAGATCCATCAACATAAAAACCGAGGATGTGTACGGTCACGCCTTCGCCTTGCCACGGTCCTCAGAAGTACTTGAAACAAAACTAAAATTGTAAACCAACACTTAGTGAGTTCCCCCAAAGTACCACCACATAAACATAACAAACAACAACATGCATAAATGAGCCTTCAGCCTGACTGGTCCGCCTCGTAGGGCCTACAATCTATTTGGACCGCTTCCGAGCCTTTGGCCTGACTGGACCGCCTCTCAGGGCCTACAGCCTATCCGGACTACTCGTCGGGCCTTCGGCCTGACTGGACCGCCTCGCAGAGCCTACAGTCTATCCGGACCCCCCGGGTATCTTGGCCTTCAGCACAAAGCATGACCGCCTCAACCCAACCACACATAACATGTCGACATATACATAACAAATAAACAAATAACCAGTCAACAGACAAACAGGCATATCTACATATCACTATTGCATGCTAACATCCTATATACCAGGATACAGATCTAATAGATCACTACAACATAACAACATCCTATATACCAGGATACAGATCTAATAGATCTCTACATCATAGCAACATCCTATATCATGTAACAGGATATCCAATCCAATGGGCCGACCTTGGTGCCTTCGACCCATAAGTATAGTGAGGAAGACTCACCTCTCAATCTTAACAATAGCTGATGAGGTCCCGACTCCGAATCTCAACTCTAGCCGCCACCTATCCATCCAAATGACCATTTCTCAACCACAATCCAAATTCCCAAAATACCCCTAGGTCAAACTTTGTCAAAATCAGGTAAAAGTCAAAGTCAAAGTCAATGGGCCAACACACCCGAGTCAACTCAACCGAGTTGACTCAGGCCTCATACGCGGGGCGTACTCCGGAGGTACGTGGGGTGTACAAGCTCTGAGGCACCGGGGTCATATCTGTGTATGCGTAGCGTCCGAGACATCAGGGCTATATCTTCTCACCACCTTTTTCTTCTTCAAGAACACTTCCAAAACACTCCAATGGACTCAAAAAGCACTCTTCTCACTTAGGGTTTTCTTGGGGTCGTTTTTCACAGAGGGAGGCTTATGAAGAAATGAGACATGAAGCTATAATGGGGTTTAAATGTGGACCAAACCCTAAAAATTAGTGTTTGCATTTTCCTCACGTACGCCCCGCGTATGAGGTGTATGTCCAACATACTAGGGAGCGCCCTAGTACGCCTAGCGTACACAACATACACTCAACATACTAATCCTGATCAGAATTACCATATTGCCACTAAGGGCCATATTAGCACCTTTCCTCATACTCAAGGGTAAAAAACGCAAACAATTCCCATACAAGGGGCTAAAAGGTAATTACTTGAAAGTTGAGATGTTACAATTCTCCCCCACTTAGACCAGACTTCGTCCTCGAAGTCCGCTGCTGTAACTAACCCATGGTAGTTCACACATCTCCACCTCGGGTCACTCAGATGGCCCTCTCCAGCACTCGATCCAAACTAAAAGTCGGCTCATCAAGACGTCTACCTTCCCGTACTATCCTTGACTCGCTAACTTTCACCATTGAAGAAACCATCACACTCTCACAGAATTTTAGGAATCCGATACCTCGACTGACTCTTAAGCAAACAAAACTATCTCGGAACGGAGTTATTATGACATCCCTTTACAATATGAACCATACAGGACCCTCCCGACCCTAACTTACCTTGTTGATACCACTTGGGGATCAGGACTCCTGACTATTCACTGTTGTTGAACCCTTCATTCGAAAAGAAGGCGACTCCTAATACGATCCTCAGCTAGATAACCACTGTAGACAAATACATATAACACCAACA